TTCCAATGCATAATAGATCTTTTTTCAACAATTTATGGAAAGATCTGTTACTTAATTAAATTTTTTAATGTTACGTTTTTAAGCCTGTCTTAATAAAGTAAGTGTAGGGCAGATACCTTGCCTTAACATATTTTAGATTAATTTTATTTTGGTTTTAAAATATTGAAACATCTTCTTAAAAGTTACATATAACAACCATGTGACCCATTCTTTAATGAGGCAGTGTTTTATGTTAGTTCATTTTTTTTTTGTAGCTTCAAATATAATTTTATTTGTTAAAAAATTTATGTATAGTTAATTGTTGAATTCTCTATTTAAAGTTTTATTTTTTTAAATTTTCATTCAAATTAATACATGCAATATATATTCATAATTTTATAAGTTTCTATTGTAATACTTATGTCAAATTTTTTTTAATCTGAAGAATAACAACCAATGATAATCAATCTGCCCTGACAATTTGTTCATGCTGTTGACCTGACATATGTAATAGCTTTTACAACCTGCGGATCAAAAACTTAAAGAAAAAGAGGAGAAAGAAAAATAAGAAGTAAAAAAAAAGATCCCCCAAAACATCAATTACTGTGAGGCAAAGTCAGCAATTGTGTTATGATAATGAAGAGATTTGGAAATCTCAGCTTTCCACGGATTATTGTCTTGCCCATCACACACCAAGCCAATAGTTTGTAAAATTTCGTTTAACTTCCAGAGTTGGAAGGTGGTGGCTTTTCTTTTTGAACTATTAGATTTAACCATTTAATTGGAAGTTTCAATCTTGTATAATGGAATAAACAAAAATAATAATAAACAATACAATTTCACTGATGTCATCTTAAATTAATTGATTTTTTAACTTACCACGCCCACCTTCTATATTTAGATGGCCTTCTGATCCCAAACTTAAAGCCAAAATAAGATTAAAGCTACCTTTTGAAAGTAAGTGATCTATAAAATTTCTGACCTGTACTTATGGTATATTTATTGTAATTTTGCTTTTCGAATGTCAAATAATCTTTCTCAATGTTGTGAGTACTACTGTCGCTAACCATTTTAAAAGTTTTTATTTTAATTCTCTGAAAGAATTGTAATTAGCATTTTCATTTGGAAAAGTTAAACTCGATTTTATGCAAAGACCTGTGGAAATTAAGTCAAAAAAGTTTCAAAACCCTCCCTTGACTTAGCCAATAAACTTCTGTAGTGTTACAGAATATCTTTATAAACAGCAAGTTAGCTTAGATAGAATCTCCTGAAACTGTATGTAGTTCAGTGCATGAGCTCTAACTATCACAAGATAAGACAACGTTCATGACAGAGTTCAACTTCAGTGATTTACAACACAGTGCTTGTTGATGGATGAGGCAGTGTATGTCAGGCTGTTGGATGGGGATGGTTGTGTTTGTCCATCTCTTGATTATTGCTTCCTCAAAACTATTTAGCTGAGCTGTAAATCTATTTTTTTAGTTTTAATATTTCATCTTTCTTTTCTCAAATTTCTTCTTGTGTATATACAACTTGTCATGTATTGCTGCAGCATTTTTATGGGCATTGTCACAGATACTGTTCATAACTCTACTACCCGGGTACCCACATGGTATTCAGGCAGGCCGTGTTATGGACCCCTGGTAGGCCAGATTTGCATGCAGGCCATTAGATTGTGGACCAATACAGTAGAAAATGAAAAAAATAATGTATCATTGAAAATCCATACTTTTTTTTTTTTAGGCTGCATTGCCATTTCAATAAATTTTCAAATCATTAACTAATTTAATTCTCTATTTCTAAAACCATTAGTTTTTTTACCAAAGGGATGTGCATATCAGCAAAGTTTATAATATTTCAGTTACTGATTTTTTTTCTATAGTTTACAGTAAGAAAATGATTCAATTGTTAACACAATTCATTTGCTCATGATGATATTTTTAATTCCAATTAGGAGCTCATGACAATTTTATTTTTAAAATGTATATTGCCTTAAATGTGTCATCTTATACATAATGTCTCTTATGTGATCACCTATCATTCATTTTAAATACAGATCTTAAAATTCAAATTTTCCTAAATAGAAAAAACAATCTGTATTGTGAACTAGATGAATATAAAATATTTTTGTTATAATTGTCAAACTGTCTTCCAATAAAAAAAAACAAACCATTTTAATAACACTATTTTTAACTAGTTTGATAGATGTCTTGTGTTAAAGTACCGGTATACATAATTGTAAACCATAATGAGACAGTATAAAGATATGAATTAATCTGACCTGCTGTGCAGCAACCAATGCTTACAGTTGGGATTTCATAATTCTAATGAATCCAGTCAAGGCATTTTCCAGGAGATTTTTTTAATGTACCCAATATATGATATTATGTCGAGATGAACAATTATTTAATTTTGTATAAAGCACAATTGCTTTAGCCTATCTTTTACTGAATAAAATCAGAAAAAAATGATGTGAAGCAAATAGCGTAAAAATGAATTTAAAATGAATATAAATAACACGGAATTTTAATGTACAGTTCAAATTAATTCATAAGTCATGAGAACATGTTCTCACAACAAGAACTGATCAGTGAATGTGAACAATGTTAAGTAAAATATAAAATAAATAATTTAATTATTGTTTATACTTCCAAAAATACTTCCACCAATAATTGTGTAGTTATAAACTATAGCTAATTCTTAAAAAATCTTTCAAGGCATTCACCATGTCCACAACTGTATGTATGTTTACCCAGGCTGATCCTTGGTTGGTCCTCAAATTTAATTTAGCATCTAGCATAGGCAATTCTGACTCTCCTGATGGGACTATTTACTCAAGTTGAATGGCATCCTCTTTAGTACAGTCTTATGTTTTTCATAGTTAATTCATATCATGGTACAAGCATGTTAAATTCTTAAAACATAGTAACATTTTATCACAGATAAAATACCGGCAGGAATTCTGGGGCTTGTCTTCAGATGTTTCCTATTTCCTTCTAGTCTTTGCCAACCGGTCTGTTAATATGCCAGCCTCAGCTTCAGACATTCCCAGCAGTTTGCGTAGTCGTAGGATCTCTTGTTTATATCTGTAGAAAAGGTAACAATAGCATATAGTATTAATTAAATAACTTAATATTAATAGACATTAGGACCTACTGGTCATAACTTGAACCTGACATAATGTGGGCCTATTATGGTCTGAACTTCCTAATGTCACCGGATTTCATTTTTAAATTCTATCTTTTTTTCTAATAAGAATAAACTAAAGCATGTATTAGAGCAGGGGTCTCCAAACTTTTCAGCCCGAGGGCCGCATTAACTATCAAGCAGCCATTTGGGGGCCGACTACACACTCGAGGTCCAAATAAAAAGGAATCAAACCATGGATGTTGTTTTTAATCATTTATGTATTATTATTTCACTCAGTTATTATTTAATAACACATTGATACACGATACATGAACACCTGTATTAGTAGGAATGGTGAAATTCTTTCCTGGATGCCAAAATAGCAGTGATTAGCAGACATTTCTGGAATTAGATTTGATGTCCCTAACATCAACAGTGACCTGAGATGATCATCGGACTAATTTGTTCTCCACTTATTTCGTTCTTGTAAATGTTTGTTCACACAGGCATGTTGTTCCAAAGTTTTAAAGGTACATTGATGCAAATGTTTTGAAATTAGGAGAGTCTTCCTTGGGCGAAAACTAGTTAAAAACCCACCAGTCCTTCTTTTCTTCTTTTAACTTGTAATTTCGAAGGAGGGCATTTGCTTGCAACTCAATGACCTCCAGGTGCAGTTCATCTGGGCGACTGGCCACATCTGCTTCAAATAGGTCTTGAAAAAGTCTCACTTCTTCTGCCTTTAAATCCAAGTCAGAAAACCGCTGCTGACACTGCAGCTGGGGGTCTTTGATGATCTTGCATGCAAATGATGTGGGGAACACCGCTGTTGCTTTAGCCATGAAGACTTTGCACTGCTGAAAGTTTGTCAATTTTTGGGCCTGTACTAGTTCCAAAAAACAAGACCGAAGGCCTTTAGAAAGGTGTATAGATAAGAAACTAGATTTTCCTCTCCTTGTAGTTTTAGGTTCAGAAAATTTAAATGACTAGTGATGTCTGCAGCAAAGACCAATTTCCATACCAACTCTTCATCAGACACTAATGGCTGTGGCTTGCCTTTACTTTCCAGGAAGTCATTATTTCCTTTCTTAACTTAAATACTCTGCTCAGAACTTTCTCACAACTTAGTCATCTTATTGCTGTGTAATATGGTAAATCTTGCGATTCTGTGTCTGTATCTTTAAATATGTCTCTGAACTTTCTATGGTTGAGCCCATGTGACCTTATTAAATTAATCCTCTTTACCACAGGATTCAGTACGCTGCTAATGTCCACATATTTTACACACAAAGCTTTCTGCTGAATAATTCAGTGCAGGAACATTGGTTGCAGAATTTTTTCTCATTATACACTGCTTCACTTGTCCAACCAAGCCTTTCTTTATGCCACTCATGTTCTGTCCTCCATCAACGGTCAGGCAACTGGGGTTAGTCCAGTTCAAGTTATAATCAGCAAATTTTTTTTCAAATCATTGAATATATTCTCATTGAATAATATATATATGCATTTTTCGCTATATGAGTCACAATATTTTCACCCATCTCTGCAACACGGCGGGCAAAGCTCCTCCACTATATGGCGTTATATCAATCTCATTGACAGTGAACGGAAGTAGAAAAACTAAGCAGAGAATAAGGTTTTGCCAAGTCATGATCGGTTAGAAAACATAACACACTACTGCTCGCCTCTATTTTAATTCGGTAAAAATAAACGACCACATAAGCGGCGTCTGATCTTGGCAGGATACACGTAAATTTCCGTAAATTTTTCTGTAGACAATAAGGTCTCCGCGGGCCGCATGAGAGGGCCTCGCGAGCCGCATGCGGCCCACGGGCCGTAGTTTGGAGACCCCTGTATTAGAGGATGCTAATGACTTTACAATTCTAGCCCAGAATTCACCTGACAAGATGGCTGTCAATGTACTCCTGACTCTCTCTCAACTGCTGCTGTAGGACCTGGTTCTCACTGAGCAGCCGCGCCCTCTCCTGCTCTAGCTGTTGCTGGGTGTTGAGGGTGAATTCACGCAGCTGTTTCCTCAGGGCTGCCCACAGGTCAGAACGGGCAGACACTGAGCTGAATGGACATGAACACACTATGGTTTCAATTAATTTAAATTTAGTTCTTATTGTGTTGAAATGCTTCTATTTAAAGTAGAAAATAAATTTCTTCTGGGACCACTTTTAAAAAATAAGTCTACTTTTGATTAAAAGTATCTGCTGACGGTGATAAATGAAATTAATGTGAAAAGGACCCAGTTCAAAATGTCAATATATAATGATATCAAGAGTTTGAGCAAAGTAAATTGAATATTTAAATTGTGTAATTGAATATTTAAATTGCTTTCACTCAACAGCCAAGAAACTAAATGAATATCGATTATTTAAAAAATATTTTATCCCTTGAACATGAAAGAGTGGATCATTTATAGTGGTGTACTTTCATTTTGTAATAGAAATTCCTTTATTAAATTATTACACTTTTATTTATTGGATTTTGCTACAATAAATAGGTCATAAAACTGTTGAGCATAAAAACAATCTATGACTAAGACAACAACAAAAATTAAAATATAGTACAACAAAAGGAGTAGGCTGTTTCAAATTTTGAAATTTCAATGATTACAAAAATTTGATAAAAGTTTTAGCTAAATTATGCAATACATTTGTAGGCAAAATATCAATATAATTTTGATAGAGGGCCTAAAATGCCTTTGTTTAAAGTATTAAAATTACTTCGAACACTAAAATCTAGTAGTGCTACTAGAGGTGGGAAAGAAAGGCTTGCGAACTAAAAATGCTTACTTAAGGTCTCCCAAGTTTTCCTTCTTGTCGTCGCCAAAAAGTCCGTACTGTTGGGGGAATTAACATGCAGCATTACATAAACTAGTGAATTTTGACTCTGTGGTTTCTAAAATTATCTGTTGCCTTTCAAAGGGCTTAAATAAGAACTAAACGTAACAGTAACAGTGGGTAAAATAAAATTTTTGCAAAATCATAGCGGTTGTCACAGAAGACTTCATTTGAAAACATCATTTTTAGACGGTTCGAGTTCCATCAATATAATGCAATGTCAATTTCAATTGGGATAGTGATATCATGGCATCAAAATCTACGGTAATAAGGGGGGAGAGACTGCAGCCTTTAACTTAATATTTTCAAAGTCCAGACATGTTTTGTGGCACAGCCCCAAACGGTCTCTGCTCAGGCACAGCTTTAGGCAGCCGATAAAATACACGCCAGCTTAGTAACTATTCTGAAGGGTAGCTCCAGATTTCTTGATTATTATTTCAGTTGCCAACAGAAATACTTTCAGATATTTTTAATACATGTATTATTTGATAGAATAAATCATGTAAACTAGCTTTTTTCACATCGATTGAGCAGATTCTTAATGGGAATTTTCCTTTTCATTACTTCTTGTTGTGTGTTAATAAACTGGTGAATCATCACAGCACATGTTGTGTTTAGTCTAAAAGAGAAGAGCAATATCATTTCTGTATCACTGAAGAATTTACCCGTAGTTTGACAGCGTCCAACTCTGTTTTAGCCTTGCTGAGCTCCGTCTTGGTCTTGTCGAGCTCCTTCAGGTGAGACGACTGTATCTCCGTGTCATCGAGCTTAAGGTCATATTCATCTGGTCCGAGGTCTGTTCTGTCAAAACCCCGTGCTTCACAAGTCTGTCGTAAGTTTCTAAGCAATAAATGTTTAATTTGAAAATATTATTTTAACCCACTAACCCTCAAACTGCCGTATAAATATATTGAGAACATATGCTTTGTAATTATTTATTTTTATATACAAACATTGAACTTACCATTTTTAAATAGATGGTGTGATGATTATTTGTTATTTAAGCCAGACATCTATTAAATAAAACATTACCATAATGCATCTGACAAGACTAATAACTTAAGTAAACTGTAGAATCCTAACCTGTAGGCTATTAAAACTTGCTCATATTTGTTTACTATGTTCTGGAGGCGCTTCCTGAAGGCCTGTGCCGCCTGACTGAGCTGGTCCTCCCTCTCCTTGTGAGACCTTCTGATGTCCTTAAGCATGTTGTCGACATACTCTCTCATCTTCTTCTGCTGTTGCTGTCCAGGGACACCGCTGCCCTTGTCAACATATTCCTGGTCATACGGTAAGATATGAAACTATGTCAACAGGGCAGGAGATGGACATGTCTAATATTTTTACTTCTCCTCATGGGATGGGTCCTTTAAATGAACCTATCAATTGTCCAGTCCAGGTGCGTCCGACCCAAAAGCCTCCAACTGCCAAATTTGATAGCCAGTTAAATTGTATGAATATGTTGGATACCATTCTGCTTCAGATTTAACCTAATGAGGAAGCTCCTACCAGGGCAGTTATATGAAGTAACCTTAGTCATTATGCAAAAACTTACAGCAATGTCCTCAACATATTTAACCAGTCTGGCCCTGAAGTCTTCACCCAGGTCCTTGACCTTATGCTGCAGACGATTTGTCTGAGTCTCCACAAACTCCTTTTCCCCCCTGAGTGTGATCAGTTTCTGATAAGAAAGAACAAATGTTGATATTCATCTGCTGTAAAAACTAAAAACTCATTTTCAAGCTCATTTCTAAGACCCAAAATAATTGAGAAGTTAAAATTATTTTCCTTTAAAACTGGTTAAGTTTTGGTAAAAAAACAGGCTAACGACTACTGTGAAACAAGCAAACACATCAATTTCGTAATTTGCAACAGGGTTTCCTAACTTTCTCTACATTCTGCACACCTATAAACTGTTTGACTAAGTCTAGCATCCCTTCTACAAGTAACAGTGCATGTTAAAATTGAAAAAAAAAATTATTATGATATATATATTTATATTCATAATCACTTTATTATTATTATCATACGTGGTTTTATAAGCGTGGTACCCCAGCCTAGGGCTGGGCTCACCACGCTGTACATACAATTTAACAAACATAATAAAAATCTGAAATAATTAATGACATAAATTAATTAAATAAAACAAAACTTTACCTTGCACCCCTGACATACCAACTCACACCACCCATGAATAACCCAGGTTGGGAGACCAAAATTAATCGTTAACTACAATAAACTGATAATATAGAATAAGAAACTTAAATAATAAATGGATAGGGTTAGACGACTGCTCAAAAACCCAAGCCCCATATGCACTTCTCAGGGGCTCTAAGGCCTACCCAGAAACTCCTAAACACTATTAACTTTTAACACCCAGAGTGGGCACTAGGGGCACCCCCATAAAAATTGATTCTAAAAATGACCCTACGACTCAAAAAGAGTGGGATCCACTGGTTGAGACTCGGCACACACAAAATAATTGATTTGCACAATTTCAGACCTGTTTACTCTTACGATTTTGGCGTACAATTTACGATTTTGAGGTGTATACATTATATATACTGTATGTTTATTTTTCACTATTAAGATAATGTATTAAACGATTTTGTGATGATATTGTACGATTTTAAGAGTTTGAGGGTAAACAGGTCTGCAATTTCATGCTACTTATTTATTTACTTACAGCATTTAGCTCTGATATCTTCTGTCCTCTCTCCCTGGCCAACACCCTGGTGTCTGCCAGCTCTTTCATTATGGAATTCCTGTCATGACAATGGAATAAACTTCATAATTATTCATCTGTTTCTACACCATGTACATGCTTAAGGTGCAGAATAGAGTCTCAATGTAGAAAATATCATAACCAATTAAGAATGTATCGATTTCATTTTATTACAATGCATTCTTCTTTATTCTTTTGTAGCTCCATACATAGGATGGAAAAAAAGTTACACCAAATTTCTGCTTTTCATACTGACTTTTGAGATATTTCAGCAAGTCAAAAATGTTTGGGTTCAGATTTCACTGATGAAAAAAAAATGCTTACATTCTAGATTCATATTTTCTATTATCGTCTCCGTAATCGTTTTTCAGGCGGTTAATCTCAGATTCAAACTTCCTCTTGCTGGCAAACAGCTGCAGAAATAATTTTTTAAAAAATAGAGGGACATCAACACATTACATGCAGAGGAGCTACTTTTCTCATTTAAAACATGTCTTAGCTTTGCAAAGCTACTTTTTTAAATTTAAAATATGTAATAGCTCTGCAAACCTACTATTCTCATTTAAAACTGTCAATTTTACTGGCTATAAGATTAGGTCCACTGGTTCAGTGTCTTCATTAAAGCCTTGCTCATATTTATAATAATAAAAAGTTTGTAGGTAAAACTTCAAACTTTTTTCCTTGTTGATAATTACAGGCAGCCAAGAATTACAATAGTTTTACACTACTATGGGGTTAATTTTAAATGAAATACAAATAATCGATAAATTTATCAATATTAAAGTATAACTTTAAAGATACAAAATTTAAACAGCAAGAAAATGTCTGCATAATTTTAAGAGTTTGTTACTTTTATATATTAGAATTACATCAAAATCAATAGTTTTATTAAGGATTTGTATGAGGCGATGGCCACCGACCCCCTCGACGTTACCCGGGAAACACGACCACTGGGCGCATCCTGCGTGGGCAGACAAGGGATGTGGGGATGTGCTCGGCAACCTGTGGTACATAAAACAGCTCCTACAGGGCTCCCAGTTGTGATATTTCCCAACTGGAACAATAGGCAGTGACAGGGTAGGGATCATGATTACAAGTTGGTGTTAATGGATATGAGGCGAGAGGCGAAGGTGGTAACCTCTGGCCGATGATTCTTACTACGCAGCCCTGAGAAGCTGCTCAAAGGCAACCGTTTCGTCCCAGCTGCATCGCGAATTAGTTGCGTTGTGGAAACCCACTGTAGAATCCCTCTTATAGGGCGTCTAACGCTTCCCCGGGATGGGTGGGGGAAGATATTAGGACGTAAAATTTTCCATCCCGACTCCTGAGAAAGTCGATCGTGTGCACTGTGCGAAATAACACAGTGTCGGACCGACCGGGTGTCTTTGGGTTAGGACGGCCCCCGGCGGAGACCTGGTCGAGCAGACTCGGGTGGGGGCTGTCCTGACAAAAGGACATCCCCGACGTGCCGCTCCACGGCCCGATACCGGGTTGGGGAGGGGTGTTTTGGGGAGGGCATAAAGAGCGCAAGCTCGATAGCCCGCTGACCCCATTTCTTAATGTAATAAATAATATTAAGGATTTGTAGTTTTTAAAAACGTGCTAAATATTTTGTAAATTTGATCTGTTCTGAAACTGTGCACACCTGTGATTGTATTTCTATAGATTATTTCTCAATTGGCAGTGCAAGATGAATAACCCTGTCAGACTTACCCTGTCCTCTATTAGTTCTCTGTCCCTCTGTGATCCTAAAATTTCATCAGCCTGAAAAGAATTTAATTAGATCAAATGAAACTTGTAATTATTTTCACAAAATCACTTGAACTTGAATCTGATATATATATATCATACTGATCAAGTTCTTGTTTCAATAAACAAAGACTATTTTTAAAAATGGGGATTTTGACTTGCCTTTAAACAGGAAAAAAAACAGTGAAAACTTTAAAGTAACAATTTAATTAGGGAAACAATCTTAATGTTATGAAAAGTTCTATTTAACACACATAGACAAAATGTTACAGAAAAATTCATTACAAGTTGGATTACATATCTTATGTAAACTTGTTTCAATAAACAAAGACTATTTTTAAAAATGGGGATTTTGACTTGCCTTTAAACAGGAAAAAAAACAGTGAAAACTTTAAAGTAACAATTTAATTAGGGAAACAATCTTAATGTTATGAAAAGTTCTATTTAACACACATAGACAAAATGTTACAGAAAAATTCACATTTTAAAACTAACAAATTAACTCATTGACCTAAGGTAGTTTAACTGTTTCATAATTAAGAATAACTAGAACAATGTGTTTATTTTAAACACAAAAGTTGGAGAGGAGAAATTTGTTATCAAATGTGATGGAGTTGACAACTAGGCTCCAGCTGCAATGAGTGTGTGTGGGGTGGTGGTCGTATTCAGGAAATAGTGGAACAATGTAAGTGGAAGCCTGAAAGATATACACAGGACAATAAATGAATGACCTTTCGTCTAATTGTCTTCACTTGCCGAAAGGTTCTTCTTGTATTGTCCTATATATTTAAATCTTTCGCTTACCTTGTCCCACTATTTCCTTCACACAGCTTGAATTTAGTCCTTAATTTATTATCCTTTATTCAGGAGATGAGTAGGTGGAAAGTTTATCTCTCTGTGACATGGCTTTATCTCTCTTTGACATGGCTTTATATCTCTCTGTGACATGGCTTTATCTCTCAGTGACATGGCTTTGAGACCAAATTTTGTCAAAATAGAGTTAATAAAGACAGCAAAAAACGTTTGTTTATCCACACCTTAATTTTTCCAGATGTGTTCTGCTGGATGATGGCTCTGATGCGAGCGATTTCAGCAGTGGGGTCATCGGCTGTACTTGGGTCACCATTGGTCAGTATCAGGACTTGTCTCATGAGTGCCGCCTTGTTGTTGACCAGGTTGAGCAGTTCTATTGCCAGGTTTTCATTTCTGCTGCACTGTATGACAAAGCCAACATTTAAAAAAAAAAAACACTTGTAACAATTATCAGACCTAAAATGAGACTTTCCTAACTAATCGAAGTGTTACCTTGTGATGTTAACTAGTTGAAAATATTTTCACACACTCCTTTTACTACAGCCATGCCCAGCATCTCATTTCTGTGCAATTTAGAATTTACATTATTTTTGGGATGAAAAATTCACTCAGTGAACCATCTCGGTGTTAAATTTTTGTAATAAATTATATCTTTTTCTTTATGTTCAAACATATTTTAATAACTGGTTGGTGTATTTCTTTAACAGACTAGACCTTAGGAAACCCTAGTTAAATAGTTTGTAACATTTAGATTCATTCGCAGACAATACAAACATATTCCAAAATGCAGTTAGCCGGAAAAAAAAAAGAATTAAAATTAAATTTATTTTTTCATCTCCATTTTGGTTTGAATTGTGACTTAAATTGAAAGAAACACCAGTGATTGGATTGTTCAATGACATCAGAACTCTTAGATAGAATTTTTTTTTTTTTTATATGTATAGGTTATTTTAATATCAGTATGAAACATGCTAATACAGAGATGCAGTTTATGGATAGTCACATGAAGTGAATTACAATAAATAGAACAACCTCCCTGAAGTTGACAAAAATGACCATTGTTCATGTTTAATTTGCTCCTAAAGTTTTAATGATGCTGTTTTTTTGGTTTTTTTTGTTTTTTTTTCAGAATGGTTGTGTAAAACTAATTTGAAATCTGTCAAATGATAAAAATAAACAAAAACCAATGACATTTTTAGTCTCAAAGAAAATCTAAAACATTAAATAGCCATCGAGATGTCATTCAAGTCCCTCATTCCCATCCTTTCCAGAATAGTGTCATTTGAGTGCTGGTCTGTCATTCTTCTATGTAATGGAGACACATCTTTTATTAAAATGTTTATCAGTGTTTATAAAATGGATGTAGTTACCTCCCTCTTGTGCTCATTGGTCAATGCCAGGTAGTTGGTCTTGAGAACGACATACTCATCAGCCAGATCCTTCCTGTCAGCCTCCATTTCCCTCAGCCTCTCCTTAGCAGCCTTAGCGGAACGTTTGTGTCTGTCGCCGGCATTCTGGGCCTCAGTCAGCTGGTTCTCCAACATGATGATCTGAGGAAGAAAAAAACCACATGTGGTCTCATAGACGTCAAGAAGGTGGAGCAGTTGTGGGAGCAGATAAATAAATATTTCAACCAGTGGAAGCCAGAAATAAAAACCGATGCCAAATTTAACAAAACCACCACCAGGTCAGGAACTCTCGAGGATCAAGACGAAAGGAACAACCAAAAAACACCCGGCAAAGAGAGATTAACAGTAAGTTATAATATACAGCTTGAAAAGAGTTGAAAAGAATCAGAGAAGATGTCACAAGGCAAACAGCCTTGAAAAGAAATTGTTAATGGCCTAGGCTCCACTGGGAGTTGAAAAGGCAAAGAAGATGAGGAGGACCCAGAACCAAAAGATACAGACAGATTATGGAGGCAGTAGAAGAGATACACGTACTAAAGAAAATACAAGATTTGTAATGTTTTACTACGGAAAAATTCAAGCATAATACACTGTATATACACAAAAATGTGCAGACCAGTGACAGGACAAAGAAAAGTACACAGGAAATGTACAGTACATTAATATAGTAAGGAGTCTCAAACAAATGCCGTGTGAGGGCACCACAACTTTATACAGCCACCCCTCAAATATATTTTCCTTTCACAGTTTTTGAAACATAAATAAAAAAAATATCTACATGGAAGCAAAGCCTTCTGCATGGGGCCTGGAATAGTTAAGAGGAAGAAAATTTTGATGTGGAGAACAATAAATTATCAACTTTGAATGCAGAGGACAAAAAAAAAAAGAAAAGTAAAGCGGGCCTCCAAAAGTCACATGACGACTCTGCATGGATGTTGTTGTTGATGTTTGGTAGACTTTCCCCAAACTGATTAATTCCAATACCAAATTTGGTGATTTAGACATTAAGGGATGATTAGGTAGACCTAGCCATGTGAAAGCTTACTACACATACACATTTGGCACTGAAAGAAACTGGACATCCTGAAAGACATATGGGCCACAGTCTATATTTTACTGCCTAGTATTACATCTCTCTGTATCAATCCTTTTGCACAAATTTGCCCCAATGGGACTAACTAACCAAGCCCACTAACCAGGAGAATGGTTAAACCTTCTAATCGAGCGGGTTAAATTAAGTGGAGTCAAACTGAGTGCAGAGCACAGGTATCTGAACAAATTTCCAACCTGTATTCATGGGGGACAATAAGATTACATATCTTATGTAAACTAAACTGCATATCTCACGTGAAAACCACCAGTCCTCCCCCCCAACTAAACATGATATATTAATTAAATTTAGGGTTATAAGTTCATTTCTCAGCTTGAAAAATGCAGGCACTGATGGAAAAAAAGTTGACAAAAACTTTTTTTGTTTGTTACTGATTTGGTCATTAAAAAAACTCACTTTTGATTTTATTTCTTCAATTTTTTTTTTTTTTAAAATGATTTATTTATTTATTTAGGCATTTTCATATAGCGCTTACCTTAAAGCTCTAAGCGCTTTACAATTATTAAAAACATGTAAACTAAGTAAAATTAAAATGAAAAACCAGATACACTAGGATAGTAACTACTATACTATAGAAACAATTAAAATGGCTATAAAACGAGTACACTTTGGCACGTGTTGGCCTATACTACAGGATCAACCCGAGACAGAAAATGAGGCAGGGCAAGTAGGGTGCATCACAGGTCATAGGCTGACCTGAACAGATTTACTTTCAAATATTTTTTTAAAATTTAAAAGTTATTGATTACTCCCAAATTTACTAATTGCAAATATTAAAAATATTAATAATGACTTAAGTAAGTGACTGAATTCCTTTTTCCCAAAATTCAAATATCATAAACATTTCTCACTTTCCTCAGCAGCCAAAAGTACTCACTCATCAAATTTCTCAATTAACAAAGTGCTTCATGTCTTGTATTACTCACTCTCATAAACTCATCACTCACCAAATTCCTTTAACGCCACATTCTCTTTCACCAGATTCCTCACTCAACAAACTCCTCATTCACAAAGTATCTCCCTCATCAAACTCCTCACTCACAAAATTCCTCCCTCACCTAATCCTCCATTACGAAACTCCTCACACTCACAAAAAATACATACTCACCAAACTCCTCACTCACCACATTCTTCCTCACTAAACTCTGCATTTACTACAATATCCATTCACTAAAATCCTCACCCACGAAACTCCTCCCACTCACCAAACTCCTCACTCACCTTGTTTGTCAGCTCAAAGTTTGTGGCTTCTGTCTCCTCTTTAATCTTATTATTTTCAATCTGCATCTCCACCAGAGACTGGGAAACCTGGCAAGACAGTAAAAAATACCTGGCAACATTACACTAGATGGTTTCCAATATCTGCATTTTAAAAGTTTGTCTGATTTTATTTTTATCATATTCAATATCTGTGGTTTCATTTAACATATGTATGAAATAATTCTTTAAAACTTGAACTGCTTAAGAACTGTGAGAGGCACAGAGGGGTAAATGAAGAGGAAACACTGGAATTCCTTTGTAAGGTTTTATTTTCTCAGCCCGCAGGTTTTAAACCTTTCAAGACATGAGATTTTTTTTGTTGTGCTGAAAATTAGTCAAATAAATTGCATGGGAGTTCAGTCAATTACAACGCAACAACAGTTCCTGTCTGAGCAACACAAGAACACCAACCTTCAGCTTTTCCTCCTCACTGAGTAGCAGCTGTTGGGACAGATCTGTTTTAGTGCTGGCCACATGACCGAACTTGTTGCTCAGCTGGTCCAGACGCAGTTGGAGGCGTTCATTTTGGTCCTTCAGGACGAGCTGAGAGAAGAATTGGGAGTGAGCAACATTTTTTTGTGATTAAAGTTTTAACACAAGAATTACTTTTTTTTAACACATGTCAATTAAACATTTTAAAATATTAATTTATGTACACTAGAGGAAAAACACACCCAACAATTGGGGGGGGGGGATCAGTTTGTGAGCCCCTTCTGCTAAAGTTACTTGACAAAACGTATTCAAATATTATTTTGCGCACTATTGAGCATGCCAGACATGCATACATATCATAAAAATTATTATTCATGACTTTAATTCTTATTTATAAGCCATACAGTATTTACCAAAATTAACCGTACTGAATCTACCACATGTTTAACAAGTATGTGCATGAATTTAGATTTGGCGGCAACAGTAGATATTTTTAATGTGCAACTTTATCTTCATCAAATGTCCTTACAAAGCCTTGGGTAAATTGATTTTTACAAAGGTTGTATTGATATGAAGTGAACTGAATGTTAATATCATAGCTAAATGTTTATCATTCTCTTTTTATAATTTAAAAAAAAATTAATTAAAAAAAAAAAACATTTAAAAGATGTATTCACATCTTTTACAAATCTGGGCTGAACACAGATTCTTTCTTGTGTCACCCAACAATTAATTATGATCATCACAGGACCAAAAGACTTTAGGGCAGGGTTTAATTCAAAGTGTCAAAATCATAGAGCTACCTTTAGTTCAAGTGACAGGGTGATAAAAAAAAAATGTGTAAGCGTAAGCATGCAAGAAGTAAATGAGATTTAGAAACATGCAGACATCATTAATGGTAATGAAATAAATCTTAAGAGCACATCATTTTAAGTGACTCACATTTTCTGTCTGAAGTCTACGTATGTCTGAGCCCATGTCAGGCCCGTACGGCGCTGTTGATGACATGGTGTGACTGACACCACCAAGCTTAGCAGCAAGAAATTTGGCCCGGCTCTGAGTTAATAAACCCTGGGGAAGAAATTCATAATGAAGAGAACTCTTCTGAAATTGTAACTATCTCTTTGGAATTTGCTATAGACGTTTTTGGTTAGAGGGTATTTAATAATTTAAATAATTAATTTTCTTTTTGAGTTTATAAAGAATGTATCATAACATAAACTAGCAACAATGGAAAAAAAATTTAATACATTTTTGGATTGTTTTGTTTTATTTAATGTGCATATTTGTTTGTTGTAAGGAAACCACCAGCATGCCTAAAATTTCAACTACAGTGTGTCATTTGAAATCTTTGCTTCTTTGACTTACTGTTCAGATTAACTGTGTTAAAAGTGGTGTAAATTAATTGTTCACTTATACTTTCCTCAAAATCTTTGTGTGATGGAATATTATTATTATTTCAATATTTTTAATATTTACACGGCTCTATAATTGATTTCAGACAGTGCCTCGAGGATAGAGAAAGGTGGCCAGACTTTTTTTCCAGGCCCCCCCAAACACAGTTAAACAATTTAAATGCTTTAAATATATTAATTTAACAATAAAACGATTTCAATCAAAACAGTTTTTAAAAGAAAATATTTAAAATGTTATTCGCTGATCATTTCAAATGTAGGTGCATTTGTGTATATTTGAGGTTCCATTGAATACAACACACATCACCCTTGTGACAAAACTTATTTCTGACTTACCTGGGCAAATGTGTCATTGACTATAGGAAAGTTTTTCACTTGAGCAAGATTGTTACAAAATTTGAGGATGGCTGTAACAGTGTCGCCACTGGACTCCGGCTTCAAACAAATGAGAGCCCTCGTGTGACAGTTGCCACCTAATTCTTCTTGAAGGAGTCGGGTGAGGATAGACTTGCTGAGTGACATATGAATACAAAAGACACGATGCCGTGAATGTTCTATATTGAATATGAGATAATGTAAAGGATTATTTACACATGATGTTGTCTTGGGAGAATCAGTTTTATTTTTTACTGCTGTACTGCTACAAATTGACCAAAATATTACATGTGTTTATTTATAGTAGAGTAACTTCTAATAAATTAAATTTTTCGGCTTTCCTTTTAAATGCTCATTGGTAAAGATTTTTTTTGTAATTTAAAAAGTTTAAAATAGCTTGGGGGAAACATGTAATATGAAGTTTTAGGATAGGTTGTAGTTAAGAGAAAACATATGAAGTTTTAGGATAGGTTGTAGTTAAGAGAAAACATAAATGAATAAATGCACTGATGAAAATGCAATAATAAAAAAAAAAAAAAAAAAAAATTAAAATAAAATTTATTTTTTCATCTTCATTTTGGTTTGAATTGTGACTTAAATTGAAAGAAACACCAGTGATTGGATTGTTAAATGAAATAAAAAATATTAAATAAAATTTTTTTTTTTTTTTATATGTATAGGTTATTTTAATATCAGTATGAAACATGCTAATACAGAGATGCAGTTTATGGATAGTCACATGAAGTGAATTACAATAAATAGAACAACCTCCCTATAAGAGAAAAAATAAATGAAAAAATGCACTGATGAAAATGCAAAAAAAAAAAAAAAAAAAAAAAAAGAGAAATTATATCATGGATGCAGTAAGCACTATATAAAACTTTATTTGAAAAACCACAAAAGTAAATAATTGATCTTTATCAATCATTGTCTCTTGAGCCATGCCTTATGAATGTATTTGAATAAATAGTTTGATATTCATTTACATATATTTAAATTACAACAAAAACTATCATGCAAGCTTCATTTTTAAAACAAAAAATATATATCATCTCCATAGAGGTCATCCATAAAAGACGTCCACACAAAAGGGGGGAGGGGGCGTTCAGCAAAAAGTGGACAAAGGGGGGGAGGGGGTTTCGGACAAAGTGGATGTCCACATTGTAGTGTTTTTTTGAGTGCAGCAGTTTTGCACAAATTTACTGCAAATTTACTGCCCGATCACAGTTACAGTAACATGCCTTTTGATCTCTATTGTCCATCGGTGGCTGGGAGAATTTCCAAGAGAATATGTTTCTGCGATAAATATTTCCCATCACAGGCGGCAATGAAAAAACATAAGGTCGTCAATTGCAATATTCCTGCTAGTGAACATAATATGGCAGACAAATCAGACGAAGAGACTGCCACTCAGATTGAATTAGCAATTGAAGACTCAAGAACAGATGTTGTCATTATACGAAACATGTTTGAATGGCTGCAGTCCGAATTTTTCGTTGATTGAAGAATGGTGGATTATTTGTTTATTGCACTTTTTAATACAGTGATTCAATAAAATGTTTTTGAACAGTTATTATTTCATTTAGAATTTTGCCTGCAAATAATTGGAATTTCTAAAAAAAATCTTTGTAAATACATACTCTTTATATTGTTATACATTTTCCCAAATTATTCATTAATTTAAGTTCGGTACATTTCATGTTTTGGACGTCCACAACTGGGGGTCGGGGGGGGGGATCAAGTCAAAAGTGGACAAAGGGGGGGGGGTAAAAATAGCAAAAAATTGGTGGACGTCTTTTATGGATGGCCCCATAGTATTTTCAGAAATAGTATATAAGTTTAACTTTCATCTGAGCATCACACATACATACCCGTAGTCTATCACACGGTCAGGATAGGAATGTTGGGCAAGGGAGGTAACAACCTGATTCAAGGCCACTAGAGCCTGGCTGAGTTGTGGGCCTTCCCAGAGTGCACTGTACCCCGACTGCTCCGCTAGTTTCTCAAGTCCAGGCAGTTCAACAACGGTGAACCTTGACTTGTAGGGCTGAGGGTTGCCTCCCACTGACTGAAATTCAATTGTTGTTTTTAAACAACTAATATTGCTGATTACAATTATGATTTTCATGCGTTTTATACAATAGATGAATGTGGCATTTATTTCATTAGTCTGTGTGTGTGTATGATTGTGTCGGGGTGTGTAAACATTGATTGAGGTCAGGTCATTTCAATGGCGTTAAGCGTTTGAACATCTGAACATTAACCTAAACCAAGAATTATAACAAAAATATTTTTTTTAAAAGTTTTCTTTATTTGTCTATAATCTCCTTTAAATCAGAACTATTTGAAAATACATATGCCTTTTTAAAAATAGAAATGCCAAGCATATATTTCACTGTTACTCTTAAGAAGAATTAGGATCAGAAAAAGTAGGAGAGATTCAGCTTATAGTTAAGCCTTAACTTTAAAAAAAAAAAAAAAAAGTTATAGTATAGGCTAATTGTGAGCATGAGAGATTTCAATAATTTTAAATTTGGGTGATAGAGAAATACAATACTAATAATAGTTATAGTGAAGGAAAAAAACAATACTACTTCTACATATCTACTCTACTAGAGCACAAGCCGCTCCCAATTATGGCATGTCAGATGATTGCCCTTTTATGGCATGGTCAGATGATTGCACTATCGTGGCATGGTCAGATGATTGCCCTATCGTGGCATGGTCCGATGATTGCCCTATCGTTTCATGGTCCGATGATTGCCCTATCGTTTCATTCTTCCGATGATTGCCCTATCGTGGCATGGTCCGATGATTGCCCTGTCGTGGCATGGTCAGATGATTGCACTATCGTGACATGGTCAGATGATTGCCCTATCGTGGCATGATCAGATGATTTCCCTATCGTGGCATGGTCAGATGATTGCCCTATCGTGGCATGGTCAGATGATTGCCCTATCGTGGCATGGTCAGATGATTGCCCTATCGTGACATGGTCCGATGATTGCCCTATCGTGGCATGGTCAGATGATTGCCCTATCGTGACATGGTCAGATGATTGCTATGTTTTAACAAAGTCTTTGGTCGGCCAGGTCTAGACATGGCAAACTAAAATATTTAAATTGGGCTATTACGCAATATACCAACCACCCAGGCCTTCAAAACTGCACTCAAAACATATCTTTTTAAATTATACTACCCTGACTGATTCCCCTCCTCTGACCGATAAACGATATTGCTGGCTGCCGTCCATGATTTGCCTTGTAAAAGTTGTGGGGTGGGTGAATATACATTGCTGTTCTTTATTTCATAAATGTATTTTATTTTGATGTCATGATTATGTCTCTTTTGATAAAATTTTTATGTACAGCGCGGTGAGCCCAGCCCTAGGCTGGGGTACCGCGCTATATAAGACCACTTATTATTATTAGTATTAGTATTATTAACAGCGGAGACCTCGATACGGGTACGTTAACATTTAACATTGACCAAAGCTTATTTCAACTGTTTGAAAACACAGACTTTCTGTAGCGCACTTTGGCATCGGCAGTTTCTTTACAAACTGATTTCGGCTTCGGTGAAGAGAAAGACAAATAACGTGGCCCTATATGAAATGCTGTTTGCTCCTCAATAGGAGGCCTTCATTACTGTTACTTTTTCTTCATTATTTTCATTGATTTTTTTGTCAACACCTTCAAAGAAAAAAAAAACAACAATTATGCAGTGGGATGAAAATGCGGTCCCTCCATACAAAGAGAAAAAGTGGCGCCCGGGGCCGTCCGCCTCCCTCCGCCTCCCTCCGCCCCCTCTTCCTACGCCACTGAGTTTATGGGAAAAGCAGCTGAGATACGTTTTCCATGTATAAGTGAAGACTTCTGTGAATGGGACAGCCCAAGTTTAACCTTTGATTAATAATAAATTTTCAGAAGCGCTAAACAGCAAAGGAAAACCGGAAAATCTGGGGAACATTAGTTGAACCGGAAGCCCGGGGAAGGGGAAAGGGAAGCGTTGAAAACTATTTTGAGAAAAAATTCGTTTTGTAAATAGCTAGCAATGAAAGCTGCTGCCATCTGTTCTAAATGTGTCCATAAATAATTGGAGGGGTCCCTTCGTGGCAACTGCAACATAATTTGGAAATATACGATGACCAATATTTAGCTCATCCCTCGTTTTCCATAAGTAAAGAAAATATCTCCCGCCACCTATGGAGCACATCTCAAAAGTTAGAAACACCGATTGAGTGATTTAAAAAAAAAAAAAAAAAAAAACACCAAAATAAAAATAAAAAAAAAAAAAAAAAAAAAAAAGGCAACTGCAAAATAATTTGGAAATATACGAGGACCAATATTTAGCTCATCCCTCGTTTTCCATGAGTAAAAAAAATATCTCCCGCCACCTATGGAGCACATCTCAAAAGTTAGAAACACCGATTGAGTGATTTAAAAAAAAAAAAAAAAAAAATACACCATAATGTATGTTTCATGTAAACAAAACATACGTTGTGGTCACGTGGGGAAAGGGGTGTGACCTATTTCCGGTACCGATTTATTGATTTTTTTTTCTCCCCTAATGGTGCTTTAAATAAACACGCACGCTGTCTTATAATATAACACGGTAAAGTCGACCTAGCGGAGGCATTTGTACACACAGGCGTGCTGGCGAAGCATGACGTAAAAGAAAATCGCAAGACATAAAGAAAAAACAACGCGGTATAATATAACGTTGGGCTGTTACTGTTAAAAGGGGTGGGGGTGGGGTTAACATAGGACCAAAACTACCAGTGCGAAAAAGGGAAGGAAAAGGGGGGCACTCGCCTCGGGCGCCAACAACAGGGAGGGGGCGCCAAAATTATCTTTAAAGAGGACCATTATATTTAATTAATTTAAACGACAAAATGCCATGCTCGTCACAAAGACAAAGGGCGCCAAATTGATTTTTTTTCATTTACTGGTCTGCCCCAGGGCGCACTTTTTGTATACATCGGCGGGCGTCATTTTCAGGCCTCGTACCGGGCGCCACTTTTCCTCGCCAAGTATCCTAATAAAAAAGACATGAGTTGGACATCCAGACACAACAGGAGTGTGGGGGGGGGGGCTCGAGGCCCTGAGATCACACACATATTATTTTATGAACTTTTGCCCATTCAGTGGGTGTAGGGATGGGTCAGGGGGTGCAGGGGTGGGTCAGGCAGGGGGTGTAGGGGTGGGGGTGGTCCCATGTAAATACTTAGAATGTCAACCGAATACAAATGAGAAGAAAGTCTTTTTGTTTAAGATTCTAATCTCAAAACATTTAAATAATAATAATAATAATTTAAGTTTAAGTCTTCTACTTTAACATTTAAAAAAAAATACTTTAGTGGGACAATAATGGGGTTTGGCAGGGGGGTGGGCAGGGTAGGGCACCAGATGGCAGGGGGTGGGGAGGGGAGGGCGCCAGAAAGTGTACGGGGGAAGGGGCGCGTTGGAATGAAAATATGATTTAAGATTTAACTGGTTGTAAGTAATAAGTACAACACTTGAGGCACAAAATCAATTTTTTTTCTAGAGTAATAAACGTAATGAACGGTAATGTTTGTTCACAGTAAGAAATACTCTATTCAAATTATAGCATCATTTGTACCGGCAAAGAGGATAAACCCCACTGGAATCTGGGTAGCTACTTGCGACTAAGTTATAATTTTTACTTTTGAAAATAATAGAACTTTTTTTTTTTTTTAAATACCGTACTTCCTGTGGGTAAATTTAGGTACTAAAATAGGCAGCGTCATTTTAATCCACTTTTCGTATGATGGATGAACTCACACACAGATACTGACGGAACAATCGGGCCACTGCGTTTTCCACCGGTAGAACAATCATCAATAACTTATTCAAATGAACAATACCAGCGCAGGGCGAATATTTTTAACATTTTTTTTTGGTTTGGGTTTGTTGAACGGTTGGCTCTCCCGTTGTTAAGGTTTTTAACACCAACCGGAAGTTACCAGTGCTAGTACATAATCATTATTATCTGGCTACCTTGTACAGGGTTGCTTCGATTGTAAAATAATAATTTCAATTGAGTATCCAAACCCATTATTTATAACCCCCCCCCCCCCCCACACACACACACACAAAAACAATCTCGTCATCCCTAACATGTTGTTTCAACCCTACAAAACTTAAAAACCGAACAGCTTACCTTCAGTGCTACAGCCCTGTGCTATAATTCACAGTACGTCTACGTAGCTGTTGTGATACGTATCCCTGGAATCACCACACTGTTTAACCGAAAGATATCAGATCTACTTTAGTCGTCAGGACCAAAAAAAACGGGCAGGCCCCGACGCATTATTGACTTTCCCCCATTCAACTCTCTCTAGCTTTAAGCCGATCCAGTGTACGGGGGAGACCTGGGTGATATCGTGGTTAGTGGCGTACGGGAGGGAATGCAGCACTTAATCAAACCGGTGCCACCAACAACAGCCCCCCCCCCCTTTCCAATGACAGGTGACTTTCGCCCCCGGCTTTGAGACCAAACAACAACAAAAATATACGTTTATATCGCTGTCACGGCCATTTCGATTTCCCCTGGTCAATAACAGGTAATAGTTACAAATAGTAATCTGTTTGGAAGGGGTGGGTGTCCGTCGACTAAGCGAAACAGTGGGGATGCCGGCGCGAAGGTGTCTCCACAGAGCCGAACGGGCGGGCCACTCTTTGTGCCACCTGCCTCCCCACGGGAAAGAAACAACAACAAAACAACAAACTCTGCAGATGGCCGAAAGTACCGCCCAAAAACTCCCTCGCTTGCACACGGCACACTTCTAGCCGCCCCAAAACGCCCACGCTTGCACACGGCACACTTCCAGCCGCCCCAAAACCCCCACGCTTGCACACGGCACACTTCCAGCCGCCCCAAAACTCCCACGCTTGCACACGGCACACTTCCAGCCGCCCCAAAACTCCCACGCTTGCACACTTCCAGCCGCCCCAAACCTCCCACGCTTGCACACCGCACACTTCCAGCCACCCCAAAACTCCCACGCTTGCACACATCCAGCCGCCCCAAAACTCCCACGCTTGCA